GGGGATCTGATGCCCTTTTCTGACCTCCACGGCCACTGCATGTATGTGGTGCACAGACATACAAAAGAGACCAAGCACCCACACACATAAAACAGATGATTTTTTTAAAAAGAAAGAAAGAAATACAACTCTATACACTCAAAATACCTGTGTGATGTTTTGCTCCATTTCAGTCCAGCCAATTTAAAAAAAAAAAAAAAAAAATCCCTAACCACCGTGGCTCTACATCTTTACTGCCAACATGTTCAAGAAATGTACAGGCCCTGGCATACAACTCAGTTGGTAAAGTGTTTGCCTAGCATGCAGAAGTCCTGGGTGAAAAGGAGGGGAAGGGAGAGGTGGGGAGGGGCCCCCAATTCACTCTCTAGCAGTGTATAATCTGTGTGGTGGCCCACGCTTGTAGTCCAAACTTTCAATATCTTTATGTACTCAGAACCTTGTCTCAAAAGAGAAAGACAGGAAGGAAGGAAAGAAGGTGGCCAGGTGTAGTATGCGCAGCCTCCTAGAGCATACTGAACAACCCAAAGATTACTGGCTTCCTAGCTTTAAAGGCTTTTATTGACAATGACATGATTATTTAGGTTTTTTCCTCACCTGTTGATTGGACAGGCAAGGTGACTTTTATAGTCTTATTCTACTCCAATCAGCAAATCTTTCACGCATTAATCAGGCCGTGTCAATCAATCATAATTCACATGGCCCTTCACTGGGAGTTCTGCACTTGTGGGACTTAAGATCCCAAATTAGAAATGCAAGTGCTGTAATACAGATAGGTCTGAAATCTAAACAGGCTCTTCAGAAAAGTCAACAACTTCATTTACAACAGAAAACAAGAGATCCATTAAGGTTCCATGAGACTAAACTGTTAGCACACAGCACGTTTAAACTAGACACTGCTGCCCTACCTCAACACACAGAAAAGCAGGGAAATATTTGTGCCAGATATGAATCTTTATATGAGAGCTGAGACCTTCCATGAACACTGTTATTCTCATGAGGAAATAACACAAAACTAAAGCTGAGACATAATTCTTACCTCTCCATGTTTTTCAAAAAATTCACTTTTATGTCGATGCAATGTATCAATAACCTTGGTTAAGATCTGAGGTGTTCTGTCCTTAATTGTAAGATATGCAAATGACCTAGGAAAGAGAGTCACATATGACACTAACATCACACAAAGTCACATATGCAGCTTTAATACTAGAAGACATGCCCAATTTTAGTTTCTGGAACTCAAATTCAAATTCTTGAATTCAAATTTCTTTTTTTTGTTTTGTTTTGTTTTTGTTTTTCGAGACAGGGTTTCTCTGTGTAGCTTTGCGCCTTTCCTGGAACTCACTTGGTAGCCCAGGCTGGCCTCGAACTCACAGAGATCCGCCTGGCTCTGCCTCCCAAGTGCTGGGATTAAAGGCGTGCGCCACCACCGCCCGGCTCAAATTTCTTTGTATAAACTATTAAAGGCAAACCAGTTTTACCTGCTTCATAAAGAGCTATGGGGCTGGAATGTAACTCAGTGCTCATTTTGCATGAATGCATGACTGAAGGCCTAGCACAGGATAGGACACAGTGCGCATCACTGGGACCCTAGAGGCAGGAGGATCAGTAGTTTAGGGACATCCTGGAATACATAAGACCGGTCTGGAAAGGAGGGAAGGAGGGAGGGGAAAAAAAAACAGGCAGGTACAAAGACAGACAGACAGACAGACAGAAAGACACAAGAAAATTTGAAAATCTCTCTAATGTCATGGCAGCTAAGCAGACTATGATATCAGGTTCTGCCCCAGAACTCTGTGTAATCATCTTCTTTCTATTCTACTCACTTTCTTTTCCTAAATCAGAAACTATTTCAACAATGTGTAAGTTCAAAAAAGGATTGGCCTTGCAATCAAACAGGCTCTGCTCCCAGGTCTATCAGTAAGAGGTTTCATCTACTTAGAAAGATGGAAAGGGAAATGGGTATGAAGTGCCTCTGGGTACTAGTGGGCTGGGAGAGCAGAGCAGCGAAGAGTACTCAGAATCTGTTTCTCTTTTATCTAATTTCCCCCCAAAGGTTTTCCTCACTGTCTTCTCTACACACAGAGAACTATTACCGACCCTAAACAAATAAACGCCAGCTAGTCTCTCCCTTCTGCTGAAGTAGAGACTTTACCCAAGTGCCAAAGAATGAAGACGGAGATGACGAAAACCTAGTCTTGCATCAAAATACAAAGACATTTTGACCAGACATTAAAGAAACCACAAGATTGACATAATTTTTTCTTTAAGGACATGCAATCCCATTTTTATCATTTTTAATTGTATGTGTGTGGAGGGGGTCATGTACACACGTCTGCTGGGGCCGGAGGCCTAGAACTAGAGTGACAGGTAGTTGTGAACCACCAGACCTGGGTTCTGGGAACCAAACCTCTGAGTCCCGTGCAAGAGCAGGACTCATTCTTGATGGCTGAACCCTCTGCCTAGCTCCTGAAATATTAACTATTTAACAGTATACAGTGCTTAGCTGATCAGTTTCTCTGCCCAAATCATATGCACTGAATTTAAATTATTATTTTCTGCAAACTCAAGTGCCTTAGTCAAGCTTTTATACTATTGGGCTTAAGCATTTCTTCAGAAGGCTTCCTCAAATGATAACTATGAAACCTTTAAGAATATATTTTTAAAAAATGCAAAATCACATTTGGACTCTGTGAGGCTTTGCGGAGCTTCGAACCTGCTTCTTACTCCTAGGACTTAGAAGCGAATGTTTAGCAATCAGCAATACTGTCAAAGGTGATGGGAAGTGACCTGATCAACACTTGATTTTCTAAGGCAGCAGAAACAAAAAGACGCAGTCCTTTCTTGAGATGACTGGAAAGCCTTATTTTTCTATCCCCGCCCCCACACTACCACCACCACCAAGTCCTGCTTGCCTCTGGTGACACAGTTGGCTTAGGAAGAAGCCAGGAGGCTCCGAGAGGCAGGCTTCCCGAAACAGTGCCAGCTTAATTCTGGAGGCACGGGCAAGTCCCTCTGGCTGCAAACTACTGTTCCTAGCAAGGCCACACACACCGAGGCATCTTGAAGAAACCATTCCAAGAGCTGGTGAGATGCCTCAGTAGGGGGCGGTGTTTGCCACCAAGTCTGACCACCCGAGTTCGATCCTGGAACCCACACAGTAGGAGAAAGCAGACTCCCTACACAAGTTGTCCTCTGACCACTACTAGGTGATGTCAAACGTGAGTGCCACCCTCCCCACACACATGAAATCAATTAAATTATTTAAAAATAAAGTATTTCGTCCAGGCAGTGGTGGTGCACACCTTTAATCCCAGCACTGTGGAGGCAGAGGCAGGCAGACCTCTATGAGTTCGAGGCCAGTTTGGTCTACAAAGTGAGTTCCAGGACAGACAGAGTTGTTAAACAGAGAAAAACCTGTCTTGAGAAACCAAAACAATTCAATAAATAAATAAATAAATAAATAAATTCCATATATTTCAAATATGAATTGAGCCTGGTATGGTGGCTCACCTCTAATGCCAGCCCTTGAGGTGGAGGCAGAATTATCTGGAGTTCAAGGTTATCCTCTACTACACAATTCAGTAGTTCAGTGTCAAGAAGAAAACCAAATTTTAAAAAAGTGGCTATTTAACCAATGCAAATGGATGCTGTATTATTTTTGTGCTTATTTATAACTTTGCTCTCAAAGCCAAGGATACTGCAATTCCCCTTTGTCCACGGGTTTGCTTCCCCAGGGGCACTAGACTAGTTTAAAAACACTGCAAGGTGAAAATTCCAACAGTCAATAATTTATAAGTTTTAAGTAACTTTAATCACCATATTTAATTGTTCCATTTTGCTATTAGCTGTTTTTGTTCATCTTATGGTGCCTAACCATAAGCTTCATAAGATGTATAAGAAAAAAACAAAACTGTACATATGAGAATTGCAGGGTTCCGCTAGTGAACTCCTTCTGACATTTATGTTGGGGGCCAGCGAGACGGCTCAGCGGGTAAAAGCACTTGGTAAATCTGGCCGCCTGAGTTCTAAATCCCCTGAACTCCTTTGCAGGTGAAAAAAAAAAATCAACTGCCATCGCGCACACACACACACACACACACACACTTAAGGCATTAAAAAATTTCGTTGAGAGTATTAGTTTGACCTATACCAGAAGTACACATATCTCAGTAGGTGATTCCTTAATTTTAGCACCCTCAGTGCGATTCCTCCTCGCTTGCTTAGTTTGGGACAGGCTTTCCCTAAGGTATCCCAGGGTGGCCTTGAACTCAACTAGCAGAGCAAGCTGGCCTCAACTCGCAGCAATCCTCCTGCCTCCGGTTCCCAAGCGCTGGCAATACGTGACAGCAAGGAAGAAGCTAACACAGCGGACCCAGGTCCTGGCGCTGGCCGAGTGCAGCGTGCCGGCTCCTTCCTACCCAAGGAGGGACTTGAACTCTCAGCGTCATCACAGGGTCGGGAGCCCCCGACTGTCCACAGCTTCCCCACCCAACCCGGCTTTTTCTCAGAAGAGAAAAAAAAAAAGCGAGACGCACCCTACTTCCTGAGCGGAGAGAAACGCCGGGGGCTCGGCCATCGCCGGCGTCACCGGGGGTTCAACAGTCGACGCCGCCAGGCCCGGGGAAAGGAGCGTTAGGGCTTTAAAAATAAAAAAAATTTAAAAAAAAAACCGCTTTTGAATTCAAAAACTTTATTTGGTGTCCCGGCCAGGGACAGAGCACGGGACGCAAGAGCCTTCCGGCTACGCGAGCGGAAGCCCGAGAGGACCGGAGGCGCCAGCCGGCTCAGCGGAAGAGGGAAAGCACGGAGAAGTCACGTGTTCCGACAGTCACGTGGCCCGGCCGCCGGGCCTGGGGCTGGCTCCCCAGTGCGCCTGCGCCGCAGCGGGGCGGGGCGGTGTTTCCGCAAAGGCTCCTGCGGCGGCCGCGTGCGCGCGGGGCTCTGCGGTCCTCCTCTCCGCGCACAGGTCAGTGCTTCGCGCTTCCCCAGCCCGGGAGGCTGGGGAGGAGGTGTGGGCTTCGGCCGGGGCCCGCAGGTGCTAGCCGGGAGTCGAAGCACCTAGGACAAAACACTCCTGACCCCTGGTTGGAGTCAGGGCATTAGGGGTAGCGGCCAAGATGCATGAAGTCACCCCTGAGCTTAGGCATTGGAAGACGTGCTCGCAAAGGTCAGCACCACTTTGCCCATGGAATCGAACGGGGACGCAGCGGCTTTCTTAATTGATAGTATGCTGGATCTCATACATGTATACAATGTGTTTTGATCATGTCCACCACCACCACCCCCCAGTCGTCCCCTCGATTCCTAGGCCTACGCCTCTCCCGTGTCCCCCTCCCAACTTAATGGCTTTTATATAAAACACTGAGCCCAATTAGTGCTGCCCTTAGGCACACGGGCAGATTATTCTTAAAGATAAGTGCCCAATAACGGTAGTAATAATAATAACGGTAGCTGCCTTGTGTTTCATTTCAAAAATGTAGTTGACACCTGTGACCTAGGACACTATTATCACTGAACACAAGGTACAAACACAGAAACCTGTTTCGAGGAGAGACAAAAATCTCCTTTATTGCCTTCTGATATCATTGTTATCTAATATGCATTACATTGATTTGCCACATTCACTGTTTGCCATTCCCACTAGAGGGATATTTGCCCATTTTCAGCTGTATTAGGAGCTAGCATAATGCCTGGCATCTGGTAAGAACCCAGTTAATAACCGTTGTGTGAATTAATAAAAACACAAGGTATGTAAGTGATGTTAAATGCAATGAGAAAGTAGAAAATGGAGAGGGAATGGGTGGGTGTTAGGTGTATTAAGTGAAGCCATTGAGGACTTGAAGCAAAGATCTGAAGGAGACTGGGGAGGGACCCTTGCAAATCTTTGGGAGGAGAGCCTGAGGACAGGTAAGTGTGAAGATCCAGAGATGCCCAGGGGACCTAGAGCGGGATCAGCAAGAAAAGGGACGAGCTATAAGGGAATGTCACAGTGATGCAAAAGGCGGGAAATAACAAGCTCTGCAGGCTGTCTTAGGGCCGCCGGCTTTTACTGTTAATGTAAAGCCGTCTTCAGATTTGACCCTGAAAAAAGACGTGGTTCTAGTTAAGGTCTCAGAATTTTGCTAGCGTCCATTGTGAATAATCTATAGGAGTCCGAGAACGGAAGCTGGAGGACCAGCGTGCCGATGCCCTCCTTGTGAAAAGCTGCCTGAAGAGAAAGTTCAAGGGAGGAAGGGCTTGCTACTCAGCTTCAGTCCATGATGGCAGATGAGGCATGGTGGCAGGAACTGGTCACATTCCTTGGCAGCTAGAAAGCAGAGTAATCAAAGCTGGCATAGGTCTTCTTGCCTCAGTTAACTTACTCTACAGAGTCTCACAGACATAGTCAAGGGTGTGTCCCTATGGGATTTCTGAATCTTGTCACCTCAACCATCATAAACAGGTAAAGGACGATTATAATAATTGGTGGGAAAGACAGAAACTTGGGCCAGATGGTAGAAGAATTTGTGCAGAGTACCAGTCAAAAAAGGCCAGTGGGATTTACTGACAGATTGAGCATGGAGACTGAGAAGTTAAAGGAAATTCTAGGTTTCCGGCTTAGCAGCTATGAAGATATGATTGGCACATGAATGGGGAAGGGCGTGGTTTGAATGGTTTTGGGGAAGAGTCTGGATGGGATGCTCAGTTTTTGACCATATTGCATTTTTGGTGCTCAGAGTGATTTAGAGATCAATATGTGATACTCATCCGTGATGGTGTATAAAACCATGCGGTTGGCCAAGGACACCAAGACTAGGAAGAGAAGTGAGTGGCCCAGAGACTGAGTCCTGATGTATCATATTCTTGAATGGATGAGGAACCAGCAAAAGAGATCGGGAAGAGGAAAACAGTCAATGTGATAATCTAGAAGCCAAATGAAAAGGTGCTTCAAGGATTAGGGAGCGAGTTCCAGGGGATCCAATGCCTTCTTCTGATGTCCATGGGCACCAGGTGTGCACGCAATGCACAGATACATGCAAGCAGACACTTATGCCCATAAAATAATAAAAATTTTCAAAGAGGCTGGATTGATCAATGGGCACAGCAGCAATGGATTGCAGTCTGATTATGGCTCACAGTTCATCTTGTAGAACTTTTGATTTCTATTTTGTTAGTGAAAGAGGAAGTGAGGTCATCATTGAGAATGAGAAACTAGGAAGAGACCTGAAAATTCGAGGAGAGGGGGGTCAGTAGAGTATAGCAGGTATATGGTCATGAGCAGCATAGAAGACCCACCAGAAGAGAGTGGCCCTGGCTGGAGAGTGAGATGGGAAATGTTAGTTGACTCTCTCATCACAGTGAGCTGCAAGAGTTTAGGCACAAATTCAATGAGGTGAATTGTTGTAGAATATTATTTGTAGATGTATTATATATGTTTATGCTGTGGAACATGTGTTTAATGATGCAAAGATGTGTTGCATTCTTTTATATTGCAATTGTTTAACTCTGTGAAGCTGTGTTATTTTGCCTGTCTAAAATACCTGATGGTCTAATAAAGAGCTGAACGGCCAATAACGAGGCAGGAGAAAGGATAGGTGGGGCTGGCAGGCAGAGAGAATAAATAGGAGAAATATGGGGGAAGGAGAAGAAGAGCAACAAGACGAGGAGAGGAGGGTGTCAGGGGCCAGCCACCCAGCTGCACAGCCAGCCACTGAGTAAGAGTGAAAGTAAGATACACAGAAATAAGAAAAGGAAAAAGCCCAGAGGCAAAAAGGTAGATGGGATAAGTTAAGAAAAGCTGGTAGAAATTAGCCAAGCTAAGGCTAGGCATTCATAAGTAAGAAAAAGCCTCTGTGTATTTATGTGGGAGCTGGGTTGCAGGCCCCCCAGAAGAGTAGAAAAAACCACCAACAGCAGTGAACCGTGTTCATTTGGGCTTGAGGTTATATCATTTGGCTTTGGAAGACAGAGGGATGCAGGGGTCACTGTGAATGGGAGGAATTAGAAGAGTAGACCTGGAGCGTTAGCTGGATGTGCAGGAAATGGAAGCGGGAGGAAAGGCTGAAAGTCATACGTCCTGCCGAGGTGGGAGAGTTGTTGGCTTAGAGTAGTAGAAGGAATGGACTGGAAAGATGGGAGGCCGTGTCTGAGGAGTGACAGGTGTAAAATCAGGAACATGGGCCACGCTTACAGGACACATCAGGGAGATCTTAAGCTTTTTAGACTCTGCATTGGTAAGAGAAAAATTAGCTTTCATAACATAACCCCTTCTTACAGGGGTTTTACAGGTAACTAAGGTAGTGGTAAGAATACGGTTCTTGAAATAAGGAAAGCTTGGGTGACTTTTGTCTTCATTTAGAGATGGGGGAGGGGGAATTCACAGACACATGCCACAGCATGTGGAGGTCAGTCAGAGGACAACCCGCAGGATCCAATTCTCTCTTACCCTGTGGGTTTTGGGGATTGAACTTGGGCCAGCAGGCTGAACAGCAGGCATGTTTACCCACTGAACCACTGAAGTTTGCCCTGGCAACTTCCTTTAGCCTCTAGACTTTAGTGTCCCCGTGTGGGAAATGTCCTCCTGGGCTACTGTGAGGAAAAACAGAGCATTTAGAATGTAGAGGGTACTGGAACATCATGTCTGAGTTTTTCACTGTTCTTCCTGCACCCATTAGCAGAGACAGGTTTCTGAATCACACACCTGACCATGTGATTCTCTTGTTTCAAAGCCCGGGCTTCCCCACCTGTGAACCTGTAGGATCATTTAACGTGACATTTAGTATCTGGCCGCTTTTCCATCCTTACCTCGGCCCACTTCTCCCTCCGCGGAAGTCATAGCCTGTTTCTTAGATACATAATACTGTGTACCTGGCCTGTTTGCTTTGCTGATCTCTCTTTCCTGAACCATTGCAAATATCACCCCTGAGTATGGCACAGTCCTCACTCCAGGGCCTCCCTTGTCGAGACCACATAACATTCTGTTCGTCATAGTCTGTCTCCTTGGCTGGACTGTGAGTTATAAAGTCTCGATGACATCGATGCTTGTATCTCTGGCACCTAATTTTTAAAAAATGTTATCATCACTTACTCTAGGTTTGCTTGTAAAAGACCGTGCTGTTTTATATTGTAGGGGGTGCGGGGGAGTCACAGCTAACAGGCCATTTCCTTCGGGCTGTGTGTGTGCTTGCCTGTCTGATATGCCTGACCCCACTTCTTGTGCCCGGCCCCGGACTGATTAGCACTTTTCCCCTTAAAAGATGGAAGCCGGGCTGGAGAGATGGCTCAGTGGTTAAGAGCACCAACTGCTCTTCCAGAGGTCCTGAGTTCAATTCCCAGCAACCACATGGTGGCTCATAACCACTTGTAATGAGATCTGGTGCCTTCTTCTGGCCTGCAGGGACACATGCAGGCAGAATACTGTATACATAATAAACAAATAAATAAATCTTAAAAAAAAAAAAGATGGAAGCCATTTCAGTCTTTCTGGGAGCTTTTCCTGTAGAACTGAGTAAGCTCTTTCTGTTTGCTCGGTGTTTTGGACCCAGCTCCATGGTTTGGGGTCTTCATGGCATTGTGATGAAAAGGAAAAAATTCGGGCTGGAGAGACGGCTCAGAGGTTAAGAGCACTGGCTGCTCTTCCAGAGGACCCGGGTTCAATTCCCAGCAACCACATGGTGGCTCACAACCATCTATAATGGGATCTGATGCCATCTTCTGGCATAAAGTCATACATGCAGATAGAGCACTCATACAGAGAATAAATAAATAATCTTTAAAAAAAAAAAAAAAGGAAAGGAAAAAATGCCCGTCTTCTCCAAGGGCTAGAATATGTTGGCAGGGGTTCTTGGCCTTGTATGCACCCGTGGCCTTGGCTAGTTTATGTTTTGTTGGTTGGTTTGGTTTGGTTTAGTTTGGTTTGGTTTTTGAAACTCGGTCTGTAGACCAAGCTGGCCTCAAACTCACAGAGATCCTCCTGCCTCTGCCTCCTGACTAGTTGATGTTTTAATTATAAAGGTTGAAAAAAGGAATGTGTAAGTACGGATTGGTGTGTGTGTGTGTGTGTGTGTGTGTGTGTGTGTGTGTGTGTGTGTGTATGCGTATATGTGGGGTTGGGGGTGTTGGTTTTGTTTGGGGTTTTTTGTTTGGTTGGTTTTGTTTTTAAGAGAGGGTCTCCATATGTATCGATTGACTGGCTTGGAACTCAACTATGTAGAGCAGGCTAGCCTTGAACTCACCTGCCTCTGCCTCCCAGGTACTGGGACTAAAGACATGCATCATCACACCCATCTGTTTTTAAATATTTGATATTATAAAATGATGAAAAGTTTCTATACCTTTTTCTCTTTTAACATCTTTGTTATTGAGAGTAGATTTATAATGTTATTTATTTAACTTTATTTTATGTGCATTGGTGTGAAGGTGTCAGATCCCCTGGAACTGGAGTTACAGACAGTTGTGAGCTGCCATGTGGGTGCTGGGAATTGAACCCAGGTCCTCTGGAAGAGCAGTCAGTGCCCTTAACCACTGAGCCATCTCTTCAGCCCCAATTTATAATTTTATAATCTTCCAGAAAGAGGCCAAATAATGACTAAATAGAAAAAAAAGAGATAGATAGATAGATAGATGGAGAGATAGAGAGATAGATAGATAGTCTTTTGCAAGACTGAGAAAACCAGGGCTTCATTTATCATAAATAAGTACTCCTACCACCAAACTATGGCCTTAGCCATAAATGTTCATATATGTGTGTGTGTGTGTGTGTGTATGTGTGTGTACATATATGTGTGTGTATATATGTATATGTGTGTATATATATATGTATGTGTGTGTATATGTGTGTGTGTGTATATGTGTGTGTGTACATATGTGTATGTGTATATATGTATATGTGTGTATATATATGTATGTGTGTGTATATATATGTATGTGTGTGTATATGTGTGTGTGTATATATATGTATATATATAGGATTATGTTCTGATACTTCTGTTTTACAATTTTTGTCAGTGTTTTGCTGGCATCTATGTTTGTACACCTTGTGCATGTCAGAAGAGGGCAAAATAGGTGGTGGTGAGCCACCACACAGGTACTGGAAATTGAACCTGTGTCCTCCGCAAGACCAAGTGCTGGACCTGGTGTAGGTGGCACGAGGCTTTAGTCCTAGCACTCAGGAGGCAGAGGCTGGCAGATCTTTATGTGTCTGAGGCCAGTCTGGTCTACAAAGTGAGTTCCAGGCCAGCCAGGACTGCATATTATGAGATCCTGTCTCAGAAAACAAACAGAAAAGAACACATGCTCAGGGCTGGAGAGATGGCTCAGCAGTTAAGAGCACTGGCTGCTTTTCCAGAGGACCTGGGTTCAATTCCCAGCAACCACATGGTGGCTCACAACTGTCTGTAACTGCAGTTCCAAGAGATCTAACAACCCTCACACAGACACACATGTAGGCAAAACACCAATGCACATAAAAATAAATCATTAAAAAAAAGAACACGCCGGGCGGTGGTGGCGCACACCTTTAATCCCAGCACTCGGGAGGCAGAGGCAGGCGGATCTCTGTGAGTTCGAGGCCAGCCTGGTCTACAAAGTGAGTTCCAGGGAAGGTGCAAAACTACACAGAGAAACCCTGTCTTGAAAACCAAAAAAAAAAAAAGACCACATGCTCTTAACTGCTAAGCAGTCGCTCTAGCCCATGTTGTATAAATTTTTAACAGAAATATGTGTTTCCTAAGGAAATATATGTGTATTATAAACATTTTTTAAACCCAACCTGACTTTTTAATTCTTTTGATTTCAGCCTGAGATGTGGTCATGCCAGCCAAACTTCTCCAAACCCTGGCCTCTTTACACAGTGCATCATCCAAGGCACGTCAGTGCAAGAGACTTTCTCAGCTTCCTTTAAAACCGCTTACGGAATCTGAACGTACAGCATGCCGCAACACCCTGAAAATACAGCGACATTTAGGTTCATTCTTTCCTAGTGTACCAGCTGACAGTTTAAACAAGCCAAAGATCCTGGAAATAAGCCGGATGATCTCAAACGCAGGCAGACCCTTTCCCTTAACCGCTGTCCATTGTCGGGATGGAAAAGCACACCTACCAACCATGCGCCCCTTTGGGACTCCCAGGATAGAGACCCATAAACCAGATCTCTTATGTTCTAAGTGGTTTATAAAAACAGTGAAAAGGCATTACTCTATATCAACTGAAACACTTGTTCCAAAACAAGACCTTCCACAGATCAAGAGGCCCCTGAAGGCATCCCGGACGCGTCAGCCATCCAGGACCAACCTGCCAGACCTATCTGTGAATGAGGTAAAGCCCACTAGTTCTGTGGCCCCTGAGTGCGTCGGTCCTTGTGTGCCCTCTGAACCGGCATGTGCTGCACCATACCCTCCTGCTAACGTAGGAGAACTGGGCAGCCAGCTTAGAATGCCATACTAGACCTTTGAAGCCTAACGCAGCCAAACCAACAAAAAGACTGCGCAGCAGTTAGTTGCCCGTATCAAGTGTGGCACTAAAGGCCCCAGTCATGGCGTGGGAGGGTTAGTTAGGCCAGGGAGAACTGGAAAAGAAGCCTCCAGCCAGGCCAGCCAGGGATGCAACGGAGGAAAAGAGCTGATTTTTCGTTACTGTTGTTACTTGTTTGTTTTTTAAGAATTGAACCAGAAATGCATCCGGAAGTTAAAAAGATTTACCTGCCAACCAGCAGGTGTTTACTAGCCTGTGGTGACTGCTTAAGGGTGAAGAGAGGACACCGCAAGGCAGGAAGGAAGCAGTGATGGCTTTTGCTGTTTTACCTTCTGCAAGTTCAAGCATGTCTTTGTTTTGATTTCTAGTCACTGTTAAGGGGTTTCTGGGATTTTTTTTTTCAGATGCAGTTGGCATTTGTCTTCCAAGCTATAAACAGTTTAGGGTCAGAGCCGAGGCCTTAGTTAACTTCGTGTCTTGAATGATATCTTCAGCCATGCCTTGTACTTACATGTGTACTAAATCGAAAAACGAGGCAGAGAGGTCTTTGATGTCTATAGCGTTTTGTGCATGGTGGTGCACATACCCATAGTGGATCCAGCTGAGGAGGCTGAAACAGCTGGATCATCTGAGCCTAGGAATCAGAGGCCAGCCCGGATGATGGTTTAGCAAGATCCTGTTTACAAAGAAAAGAATGTATATGTTCAAACCTTGGTTGGCCCTCCTAAATCTACCAGAACAGTCAGAATGTCTGTCTGTCTGTCTTCAGACTTGAGATCGTGGACCCTGAGCATGTTTCATTTTGATGGGGCTTGTTTTTACTGAGCTGCTGACAGATTTTGAAAAGACAAACTTTGACAGGCATGGTAGCACCCCGAGGCTCAGAAGGCTGAGACAGGAGGATCAAATTTAAGGCCAGCCTGGGCTGTATAGTGAGACCCAGTTTCAAAAGAAAAAGTAAGTACAAGCCAAGGCCATGTCTTTAATCCCAGCACTCAGGAGACTAAGGCAGTCAGATCTCTGAGTTCAAGTCCAGCCTGGTATATGTAGTAGGTTCCCTCCCAGCCAAGGCTAAATAGCAAGACCTTGTCTCTAAAAAAAGAAAGAAAGAAGAGCCGTGCCAAGGGTGGACATGGTCACCGGGCAGTGGAGGGACTTCATGAAAGGCTTGAATTTGGGATCCTGGTTTGGCTTCACTCCTCACACTGCCGCTACCCAGACTGTAATGGAAGGCCTCCTCCCCGAGCCCTGGGGTGCTCTGCGAGGTAACTCACCCGCCAGCCTTTTCCCTTCCTCCGGAGAGGTGGAGCTGAAGGTTGCAGGCCTTGAGTCCGAGTTTGTGTTCCCAGCATCCAGTCCCTATTATGAATCCAGCCAGAGCCCAAGAGTTACCTCAGAGAATAAATAGCATTCCTTTCCCGCTAAAAATTGCAGAGGATGTGGGATGTGTGCCAGGAACAAGAAGGCAGGGACCCAAGTGATGCTCCGGTGTCCCGTGTCACAGGGAATGGCACTGGCTTCAGCTCTCCTGGGAGCTAAGGATGAAGGCCGACTACAGGTTTCCCCAGTCCCAGGGTCAGTAAGAGAGAAGCACCATCCCACTGCACACTGGTCATGCTGCAGGAGTGGGGCCCTCAAAAGAGGGATCAGGATTGCTAGCCCCATCTGCTGGACCGTGGCTTCTAGAGCCAAAGAAAAAAAATGTGTTGAAGTAGACTGCATTTGTTTGTCTTGTTTTACGTTTTAAAATAGATGTGAGTGAGAGGCCTAATCCAGTAACTGTTTTAGGCGGCTCTGGTTACCTATTTAGGAACAAGTTCCCATCCCAAAACCTGAAATATGCTTCAACATAAGTAAATTTAACTAGCACTTTAAAATAAATCAGATAAGCTGTAAAAAACTAGAAAAGACTGTATGAAAATGAAAGCTGCTTACAAAGTGGTGTTACCTTTAATAGGTAACAAAACCAAAACACAAAACCAAAAAACCCAAAAACCAGCCAAAGACAGCCTACTTCGTGGATCGCTTTCCCCTTCTAAGCAGCTGAAGTGAAACAATACCAAAACAAGATGTCAGAAAGAGTATTTATAAAACTTCTGAGGTCATACACACACCCTTAATCCCAGCCTTGGGAGACAGAGGCAGGTGGATCTGAGTTCGAGGCCAACCTGGTCTACTGAGCTAGTTCCAGGACAGCCAGGGCTGCACAAAGAAATCCTGTCACCAAAAACAAACATAAAAAGCAAGAAAGCTTGTGAGGCGTATATTAATAGAAGCAGCCCACAGCTGTACATACAGGAGTCCAGGCAAGTCACATTACCTGAGCTAGGTGTTCTGAGAGAAGCGCAGGTAAGGACTGGGGAACCAGGCTCGCCAGCATCGGGGAGGACAGCTCACAGCAAAGACTTAGCCTAAGTAAAGGCCTTATGTTTGAAGACATTCTTCATCTAAGCTTAGAATACATTTTCTCATGGAAATGGTGATGGAGTAACCTGCTACACCTCATCCTTTGAGAGGATTGCATTTTATCACAGAGGGGACAGGCCAGCCACATAAACAAAGCAGGCAGAAGAGGTAGGGACTGCCTCACCTAGAGACATCCACCCTAGTCGGGCATGTCCAGGTCTTGCCTGTGGTCAGAGATGCTGGGGAGTCTGTGGAGTCCCTCCATTTGTGTTCACAGGTCACATTTTAGAAATGCTACAAGCCGGGTGATGGTGCCCCATGCCTTTAATCCCAGCACGTGGGAGGCACAGCCAGGCGGATCTCTGTGAGTTTGAGGCCAGTCTGGTCTACACAAATGCTACAGTTAGAGCTGGGTGTGGTGGTGCACACCTTTAACTCCCTGCACTCGGGAAGCAGAGGCAGGAAGATCTTGGAGTTGGAGGCCAGCCCGGTCTGCATAGAGTTCCAAGATGGCCAGGGCTATATAGAGAGATCTTGTCTCAAAAAGAAGAAGAGGAGGAGGAGGAGGGAGTGGGGCTTCACTTTCAGGGTTGCCCTGTCAGCTTTTTTGACTAGCAGAAGCAGGTTCTTTTCTGACTCAAGCGGAAATTTGCCTCCGTGTAGCTCATTCCTCTTTGTGCTCACTGAACTCCGTGTGTACCACGGAGGTTCCACAGCACACTCTGGAGGGCTGTTTTTGCAGGGTAGAGTTCCCTCTCGGAATCCAGCTGCCGCTGCAGGTGCTTGAGCCCTCTGGTAACCTCAGTCCTCTGCTCCTCCCCTAAACAGGACCTGATGCAGTGCACAGCGTTTGCAACAGCAGATGAGTATCACCTGGGAAGCCTGTCGCAAGAGCTGGCCTCCTGTGGCTATGTGGAAGTGACGAGCCTGCCCAGAGGTACTGCCGCCCTAACCCAGGACCAAGTGTTTATGCTGTGTGCTAGAAAGTGACTCTCCTGTGGTGGTGTTCCGAGTGTACATTTGTTCCCGCTTCATTTTCCAGTGGTGTGCATTATGAAAGTGGTCTCAGAGGTCTGTATTCAAGGGATACAGTTAAACATACCTGTAGAGAGTTGTTGGATTAAAATGAATATGCTTTACTTATCTTTATAGGATCACTGCCATTTGAGAAGATCAGAGGATGTGTGTGTTAGCTTCCTGTTGCTGTGTTAAATACCTGCAGTAACTGTGAGGTCAAACAGGAAAGGCTGATGTGAGCTCCTGTCCTGGAGAGTTCAGTCCACAGTCAGTTGCCCATTGTGTGGGGGTCTATGTTGAGGCAGCACATCCTGGTAAAGAACACGTAGCAGGGAAGCTGCTCCACACAGTGATGAGGGTCCTTTTCAAGGGTGCACATCCAGTGATCTGTCTTTCCTCCAGTAGGCTGCACCTTTAAAAGCTGCAGTGCCTCCCAGCATGGTGAGCCGCGACCAGTCCTTTAACACTCAGCCAAACCACTGCTCCACACTGCTGCTTTACTGTCACATCAGAAAGCTATTTCAGCCTTCACGAATAACAGTGACAATAATTGATTAAAAAAAATTTTTTTTAAGCTAACAAAATTAAAGCAAAAGTTGAACACATAATTGTAAGAAAGAAACCTGACTTAGTATTTTAGGAAGGTGGGAAGGACTCAGAGATTGACCTGGTCCCAGCCAGGGGGTGGTAGTGACAGATTCGATCCTACAGTCAAGAGGCAGAGGAGGTCGGATCTCTGGGAGTTTAAGGCCAGTGTCTATGTAGTGGATTTCTGGACAGCCAAGGCTACATAGAGACCATGACTCAAAAACTCCCTGGTGCCATAAAGGGTCGAAATGCCATGCGTTTTCATTGTTTATTGTACGAACAGACTGTATTTGATGGCAAAAGCTGATTTAGAAGAGCAAAGCTCGATGGTCGGTGGAGGCACACCCTTGGCACTCAGGAGGCAGAGACAGGTGGATCTCTGAGTTCAAGGCCAGCCAGGAGTACACAGAGAAACCCTGTCTCAAAAACCAAAAAAAGAGAACAAAGCTCTGTCCTGAACCCCTGAGATGAAAAATTGGTCAGAGCAGCCATGACTGACGCTGAAGACTGCCACTGGTGTGGCTCTGCAGCTTTTCATGTCCTTTAGGGTACTTTGGGCTACACAGGTAAACTGTCCTGTTAGTACAAAGTTCTTGGGGACTTGGGAATACGCTCCAAACGGTTGTGTAGGGTTTTGTGGCTTTCGAAATCCTACCAGGAATCCTGAAGCTTTGAGGATCCTGATGTTAGAAACCCAGTGTGGGGACTTGTTCGTGTCATGTCAGCACTCGAGAGGCTGAGGAGGACGAGTGGAAAAGCCATGCTGGGTTATGGCTAGACATGGTCTCAAACACATGAAAATTAAAAAAGAAGAAATTATACATAACTGCACACATTAGTAACAATGTCTTGATTGGGATATATTGTTTAAAATTTACATTATAGACGATATACATATAAGAACTATTACTATACTAATATGTAAAACAAATAATGATGAATATTGATACATTCAACAGTATTTAAAAGATTAAAAATGTTATGGATAAGTAATTATAATGGTAGTTTTCATGATTAACCTTGAAATTAGCTAAGTTTTTAAATTGTCACACTTTTTTTCATTGTACATTATCTATTGTCCAAACTTTACACAATTTAATTTAAAATTCATGGGGTGGGGGTGTAGATCAGTTGTTAGTGTTTGCATGCCCACAGCCCTGGCTTTGATCACCAGCATCACTAAAGCCAAGCCTGCTGGAGCACATATAATCCCAGGAGGTTTGGGGCAGAGGCACCAGAAAGATGTTCAAGGTTGTCATTTGTTCCATACTGAGTTGGAGCCAACCTGAAGTATGTGAAACCTTATCTAAATAAGTATAAGAATTTTAAGAGGCAATTAAAGAAATAACATTAATTTATACATTCTCAAATTAACTTTGTAGAAAGACATTTAATTCCTGACATAGTTGTATAGAACCTAAAACTGTAATATTCATTTAACTGGACTACTGGCTACTGAATCAAAAATCAGTGTGAATGAGCAGTTGTAGATAACATTGCCAATATTATAGGTTGTAGAATGTTCTAGGGATATAATTTCTTACCTTCATTTCGTTTTCTAAGACTTTAAAATTTTTACTATTTGTATGGGTGTTTTGCTTGTATGTATGTCTGTACATCATGTGCATGCCTGGTATCCTACAGAATCCAGAAAGGTGCTGGGTCCCCTGAAACTGAGGTAGAGTTGACTGTGAGCCACTGTGTAGGTGCTCAGAACTGAACCTGGATCCTCTGCAAGAATAGCAGTGCTCTTAACCTCTGAGCCACCTCTCCAGCCCTCTAAGATTTATGTTCATTGTATATGTGTCTTTGTGTGTATGCACATGTGTGTGCCAGAAGAGGGCATCTGAGCACCTGGAAATGAAGTTACAGCTGGTTATGAGCCACCCAACATGGGATTTGGGAACAGAACTCAGGTCCTCTACAAGAAGAGCCAACGCTCCTAACCACTGAGCAGTCTCTCGAGCCCCTATTTTGGTTTTGGTGGGTGGGTGGGTGGTTGGTTGGTTGGTTGGTTGGTTCTCTGTGTAGCCCTGGCTGTCCTGGTACTAGCTCTGTAGACTAGGCTGGCCTCAAACTCAGAAATCCACATGCCTCTTCCTCCCAAGGCTGGGACTAGAGGCGTGCGCCACCACTGCACGGCCCATTTTCGCATCTTAAAACCCTTCTTGAGTCTTCAGTGGGAAGTTGATAATTGTGCTGTGGAGCACTGTGGATTGTGAAATGATCTAAGAACAGATTACACGTACAGGCTGCTCTCAGCAGGCAGTTTACGTCACCTTGAGACACAGCCTTGACTGACGTTTCCAATCACAGATGCAGCAAACATTTTGGTGATGGGTGTGGAGAACGCTGCAAAGGAAGGTGATCCCGGAACAATATTCCTGTTCAGGTAAGACAGGACGGACGTGGCTTTGGGAAGAGGGCTGCGCCCCGATGACTGGAGTCTAGGGTGGGCCTGCCTCCGCTGCGATCTTCCTGGGCCAGTGCATTTGGGGTTTGGATCTGTCATCTGATTCTGACTGCATCTTGGAGAGTTTGTCAGGGTTAAATCTCCTGGTAGGTCATCTTTTTTTGAATATGTATTTATTTTATTTTATGAGTTTTTTGCCTCCATATGTATCTGTATACCATGTGCATGCCTGCCTGAGGAGGCTAGAAGAGGGTATTGGGTAACCCTGGGACTAGAGTTACATCTGGTTGTAAGTTGACATTTGGGTACTAGGATTGAATGTGGGTCCTCTGGAAGAGCAATAAGTTCTCTTAACCTCTGAACTCTCTCCAGCCCCTAGGAGATCAACTTATAAAATGAAAAACAAGCCGGGCGGTGGTGGCGCACGCCTTTAATCCCAGCACTCGGGAGGCAGAGCCAGGCGGATCTCTGTGAGTTCGAGGCCAGCCTGGGCTACCAAGTGAGTTCCAGGAAAGGCACAAAGCTACACAGAGAAACCCTGTCTCGAAAAAAAAAAAACCAAAAAAAAAAAAAAAAAAAGAAAAACAAACTTTTTGTGAGACAGGGTTTCTCTGTATCTCTGGCTATCCTGGAACTCACTTTGTAGACCAGGCTGGCCTTGAACTCACAGAGATCCGCCTGCCCCTGCCTCCCAAGTGCTGGGATTAAAGGCATGAGCCACCACCACCCAGCTAAAATGAAAATTTTTAATACAAGTAAATCATCGTTGCCCGACATGTCTTTCACTGAATATGCAAATGGGGCAAAGCAGCCCTGTCACTGTCCCTATGAGATTCCACACCTGCTGGCCTTCGCTTGCCTTCCGTAGCATTTCAACTGAGATTTTAGTCGGCCTTGGCCATTCCAGATACCTGAGAGAGGGACCCGGGTTCACACAGTCTTAGCCTTTTAAAGAGTAGAAGGACAGGACGGTGGCAGTAGCAGCTGTGTGAAACACCTGCTGTCCCTTTTACAGCCAAGAAAAGGAGGGTCAGGTGCATTGGGAAATAACCCATAGTCGGGACAACTAAGTGATGGAACAGAAGGGTGGATGTCCAAAAGAATGTAAACTAAGCCCGGTACGGTGGTCCACACCCATAATCCCAGCAGCCTGGAGGCTGAGGCCGCCTGGGCCGCAGAGTGAAGCAGTAAAAAGGCTAAACTGTAAGTCACCCACACGGTGGCTCGTGTCTGTAGTTCCAGATACTCAAGCCAGCCGTCTTACTAATCAACCAGTCTTCTTCACCTGCACTCTCAGTGTGCTCTAGAGCAGTGCTTCTCAAACTGTGGGTTGTGACCCCCTCGGGTCAACCCTTTCACAGGGGTCACCTAAAACCATCAGAAAACACATAACTATATTATGATACATAACAGTAGTACAGATTATGAGGTAGAAATGAAAATAATTTTATGGGGGGGGGCGGGTCACCACAACATCAGGAACTGTATTAAAGGGTTGCAGCATTAGGAAGGTTGAGAACCACTGTTCTACACTCTACCTAAACATGGCTTTTGGTATGTCTCTGAAGAATGTTTTCTCAGGGCTAGCGAACTGGCTCAGCAGTTAAAAGCTGCTGTTCTTGTAGAGGACCCGGGTTCAATTCTCAGCACATATCTTGGTGGTTCACAACTGTTTGTACCTCCAGTTGCAGGGAATCTGTCACCCTCATGTCTGTGGGCACCAGGCACCACACAGTGCATCCACACATGGAGGCAAAATAAAATACTAAATCTAAAAAGAATGTATTCTCCCTTTGCCGAGGTTGACTCTCCTGTTCTTTGAATCAGGGAAGGAGCTACTGTGTTCTGGAATGTAAAAGACAAAACTGTAAGTACAGCACAGTGTAAGCTTGTAGAACTCTAGTTTCTAAGAGTAATTTGTCCCCCGTACTCAGCAATCTGAAGACTGGAGTGCAGGGACATGCTATCGTCCACAGTTGCTTTTCTGTGCGCCACAGTGTTTACCCCGTCACTTTCATCTTCTAAAATAGAATGACTTTCAATTGTTTATAAATTTTCTACCCATGATACAGTTGAATTAAAAGAGTAGCCCATAAGTACAACCAATGTACCATTGGTGCTTGGTCAAGTATGTTGTAAGCCGTGTACATGTCTGTCATCCCAGAACTCATGAGGTGGAGGCAGGAGGATTGTGAGATAGAGGACAGTACCTGAGCTACAAAACGTGCCTCCAAAAAGAAAATAGAAAAATCTGGGCATGGTTACACATGCTTATAATCACAGCACTTGGGTAGTGAAGGCCGAAGATGGGTTACAATGTGAGGCCAGTCTCTTGGTTACATGAAAGAAACCATGTCTTTAAAGAACAAAAAAAAGCCTGCCCCAAACCATATACCTTCTCTGCTGAAATCCTTTCTCACCCGAAATCTACTCCTCAGAGGTAACCATGAATAATCTCAGTGCATACATATCCTTCTGTGTGTTTTCAGGGTCACTGAAAGGAAGGAGCTACGCACATCATAGGGAAGGGAGTGGGGGGGGGTGACAAAGTAAATGTACCAGAGTGGCTGTCCGACTGCTGTAAAGACAGGAAAGGCTGATAACAGGCCTCGCTTCTATGAGCACTCATGAATATTTCGATCCAAAAAGGAAAAGCTGTTTTGGAGAGCAGTTTAGCACACATGTCTGTCTCCCCTTCCCCATACCCCTTCTTTGCAGGGCTGACAGTAGTCACACTTCAGCATGCTAGGCCTCTGCCCTGGAGCCTCTCAGCAGTGCTTCAAGAAGTACCTCATGGCAGGAAGGTGGTGCCTCGGGATAATGCCCTGAGCAAGGGAAGAGAGTAGCTCACCCCCAGGGATGGACACTGGGGTGGATAAATAAGGTGCACATCCTCCTTTAAGAACAGCAGGGAAGATGTCCATATGTAGAGTATAACCCCACTCACATAGAAAACAAATGGCACACATGCTCATAGAAAGCATGTAGACGCATGTGGGATCTGCCCTTCGCCCTGCAGAGACAAGGGCTATTCACTAGGTTTAGTCATGGCTAACTCAGGATCAGGACTCAGGAGCACTGTCTACACCATTATGTTGCTTTAGCTTTTTAAAAATTCATCTTGTGTGTGAATGTTTAGCCTGCGTTCATGTGTATGTACCATGTGAGTGCTGGGTGCCTGAGGGAGTCAGAAGAGAGGGCATCAGATCCCCTGGCACTGGATTATTGGGCCATTGTGAGCCACCATGTGGGTGCTGAAAACTGAACCCAGGACTCCTGCAACAGAGGCTCTAACCACTGAGCCATCTGTCCGGCCCCTGTTGCCTGTTGCTTTAATTTTTACAAGTAATTTGCCTGTACAATGTTTCCTTCTTTCTTTCTTTCTTTCTTTTTTTTTTTTTTTTGAGGCTCAACAAACTATAATATTAGCAGTGATTTTCTTCGGGTGCTGGATAATGGTAATTTTTCTTTTCTTTTCTTTTCAATACTCATCTGTACTTTCCAAATGTCAAAATAATGGACACGCCATTTGGTTAGTTTACTGTCACGGTGAGCTTGCCTTTTCCTACTGAGACTCGGAAAAGATGCTGCTAACGTATGGAAAGCTGTCGTGAGCAGATGAGCCCCTGTGGCTGTAGGGAGTCGGTGTCACACCAGCGGACCTCCTCCTCTCCTAGGTGAAGCACGTGATGCAAGTTCTGGAGAGACACGAAACCCAGCCCTACGAAGTGGCTCTGGTTCACTGGGAGAATGAGGAGCTCAACTACGTGAAAACAGAGTGAGCATGCCTCAGCACGTGCGCGCGCGAAGAGGGCGGGGAGAGCGCCGAGAAGCTTGGAGGAGATCACTGTGACTGTACGGAGATTCTTAAGTTACTGGTCAGAGCCAGTGCCCACAGCAAAGACCAGGATTTGTATTTACATTCTCACGTTATCAACCTAAATTAATGAGAGCACACCCTCAGCAGGATGAGTTTATCAGGTTATTCCAATCAGGATTTACTTCCCAGTAAATCCATGGGTTTTGTTTTTTTTTTCAGTTGAGTTTGAATATGACAGATGTGTGCTGAGGTGGTGATCCAGGAGAGCCACTTTGAGAGGTGTGAGGGCCTGACAGGCATCCTCAGGTGAGGACATGTGGGCGAGCAGCGGCCTAGGAACCTCCCTGGCTCCTCCGTGCTGTGACTACAGGCTCAGGCCATGAGGCCTTTTTGTTCTGTGCAATTACTAATCTAGTATATCTTTCTATTGAGTCTTTTGAACATTTGACAATAAAAAGTTTACTGCGGGGCTGGAGCGATGGCTCAGAGGTTAGGAGCACTTGCTGCTCTTGCAGAGGACCAGGTTTAGTTCCCAGCTCCCACGTAGTGAATTAACAGCAGTTTATTGGCTAGGTATGGTAGCTCAACCCTGTAATCCCCAGCACTTAGGAGCTGAGACAGGAGAATTGCCATGAGTTTGAACTAGCGTAGGCTACAGGGTGACAATGTGTCTCCAAAATACAGTAAAAATGTTCATGGTACACAAGCTTTATCTGATTATTTTTGTGGGTTAGTTCCTAGGAATGGAATTACTCAGATCAAAGAGTAGGAGAACATGTATAAAATGTCATCAATTGTCAAGTGGCTTCTAGGAAGACAGAGTTTTTCAGAAGTGCAGCTGCTTTTAAAATTCGAAAGACGATTTTTCCTTTTCTTTTCACAGGGGACAGTCTAAACTGCACAGAGGGGAAATCAAGTTAAACTCGGAGCTGGATATAGATGACTCCATTCTAGAAAAATTTGCTTTCTCCAATGCTCTGTGCCTCTCAGGTCAGTTATTCTGCTTTGTGCAGATGGCATATTACATAGCTTTATTAAACATCGGGTCATGATAGCTGGGTGGTGGTGGGGTGCATGACTTTAATCCTAGCACTTGGGGAGGCAGGCAGACCTGAGTTCCAGGACAGCCAAGGTTGCACAGACAAACCCTGTCTTGAAAAACCATGGGGGCAGGAGGAAATTGGGTTATGATTTCGGATTGTTTTCATAACACCCAGTACAGTCTTAATATTCTTTTTCCTCTTTGAAAATGTATAAACTATATCATCCACTGGTTGTTCTGCCTTGTGAACTGTATTGATGAAGCTTCACTTCTCTGAAATGGACTCACGTTACTGGCATGGCCTTTGCTCTGTCTTCTCCATGACTGCTGTACTCAGCAGCCTCTCATCCAGACATAGCCCAGCCCTGTGTGACCGGGAGCGAGTCACAGCACTGAGATCACGGCCCCTGGTAAAAGCATAGGTGCTCCGTGAGGGTTTCCTTTATCCTGCTGTGCATCGGGCTGCTGGGACAGTACGTACCCTGTGGGAAGCCTCTCAGGTTACTCTGATTTGCTCAGTCCTGAGGAGTATAGGAAAGGCCATGGAAGTCTCACCCCTGCCTCATCTACAGCACTACCCATAGGGGCTAGGTGTGATCTGGGTTCCTGAGATGTGAGCAAAAGTCTGGAATAGGAGATAACCTGTGTTCTGCCAACAGACTCAGAAAGCTGAAGTCTACTTCCCTCTCTTTTCTTTACCGCTGTTTTTATCTTCTTTAGTTTTGAAGTTTTAGTACTTTGGCTTTTTCTGTTGTTTTTTGTATTAGAATTATTAAAAATTCCATTGTTGGGCCAGACTGGCATTTACCTTTAATCTGAGCACCCAGGTGGCAAAGGCAGGTGGATCTCTGTGAGTTCAAGGCCAGCCGGGTCTACATAGCAAGTTCTAGGCTAGCTGGGGCCGCAAAGTGAGAACCTGTCTCAAAAATAATTAACTGAGCCAGGTGGTGGTGGTACACACTTCTAACTCCTGCACTCTATGAGTTCAAGGACAGCCAGGGCTACACAGAGAAACTGTCTCAAAAAAAAAAACAAGTAAGTAATTAATTGAATAAATCAACTGTCATGTGACATTTCCTTCTTGTCTCTGGGTCATACTAAGAAAGTGAAAACATCTTTTTTATGTCCCAAATCAGCCTCCGACTCCTCAGCGCTAGGGTTATAGGTATGCACCACCATGCCCAGCTGTGCATCTGCTTCTTAGTTAGGAAGCGGCAACAGAGGCACCGTGCCATTCTGCATTCTGTGTAGATGTGCCCAAGATGGTAAAGAAACATTCCCTCTTCCTTCTTTTCCCAGTGAAACTGGCTATTTGGGAAGCAACGCTGGACAAATTTATTGAGTCTATTCAGTCAATTCCAGAGGTAATTATATCAGCTCTATGCTTTTTTATCAAGAATTGGCTTCTTGCGGGGAGAGTACTAATCGCTCAACATAATGATACGCACATTTGAGTATAAAGTACTGATAACTAGAAAAGCTGCAGAAACTGTAGTGGAAACACGTTCAGTTACACAGAAAATGATGAAGTCAGCTAAGGAACCCCACGTTGAAGACTTCAGATGACTGTGCTGTGAGTGCAGTGTTTTCAGTGTGACTCAGTGAAAGGCAACCCGTGCTGGGTGTGGCCCAGTGGCGGTGTGATTGACCAGCATTCACAGGGTCCTAGGTCTTTACTATAACAGAATAATATGACTCATTATTCTTGGGGAGGATGGGTCTGGGCTGCAGAGATGGATATGTGATTAAGAGCACGGGCTGCTCTTGCAGATGACCTGGGTTTGGTTCCCAGCACCCACATGGCAGCTCACAACTGCTTATAACTCCAGTTCCAGGGGATCCAATACTCACTTCTGGTGTTCTCTGGTATTAGTCACTCACGTGATGCCAAAACCAACATGCAGGCAAGCACTCATACACATAAAATAAAAACAAATCTCTTTAAAATGAATGACAAGGAATGTTTATCATTGAAAAGACTGAAAAGGATACATTAATTAGCTTTCTCATACGTAAACATAAGCCTGGGGTAACCAGTGTTTTAGTAGGAAAGGCTTATTTGCCCAACTTGTGCAGCTGGATGGGTACATTGGTTTAGGCCTTGGGAGGCAGCAGCTTGTGGCAGGAAGCCCGTGGTGGGGCAAGCTGCTCACCTCATGGCAGCCAGGTGAGAAAAGGGCCAGGGGCCCAGCAGCCCCTTCAAGGCCGTGTAAGAAGTGGCCTAAATTCTTCCCAGAAGGCTGCACCTCTAAAGGTTTTACCCACTTTCCAATAATGCAAGCAGAGGATGAAGCCTTGGACAGATAGCCTATACCAGCCATTTAGGAACCAGACTGTAGCAGAAGGGATGGAAAACCTGAGTGTAAAATTCTGAACTCTTGATATGAGTTAGGACATTTCAGTGGGCAACAGTTATCTAAATCATTCATATAAAATGAAGTGTTCCTTTGAGAACTTGCTACATAGACCTAACACTGATAGAAAGGTGTACATGCAGTGCTCCCCCAGTGTCTGTCAGGAGGATTGACTGTTCCAAGAGTTCTTCCTGCCCAGGGTACCAAAATCTGTGCAGGTCATCTTTGCCTAAAATGTCAGTGTTTGCTGTGATGTGTGTAGAATAACAAAGAGTGTACCTGATCGATAAAGGTGCAGTTTTTAGTATTTTCTGAATGGGTTCATTGGAGCCACAAATGGAGACCCCACAGACAAAGGACCATTGTGTGTTTCCTGTTTTTGTTCTCCGTCCAAACAGGCACTAAAAGCTGGGAAGAAGGTCAGACTGTCTCATAAAGAAGTTATGCAGAAAATGGGTGAGCTCTTTGCCCTCAGGTAAAATGTCCTCTTGTAAATGAAGGATTTCCTTTAAGACAATCCATTTAACTCTAGGCAGTAAAAACTCTTCCCCATGAGAAGCAGGAAGGCTCCATTAGGACTGTCAGGAAATCAGATAAGTACAGAAGAGCAAAGCTCCTCTTCATTAAACATGTCACATGTCACACGACCCCCAGGAAAACAGGGCAGTGCACATAACGCAGAGTGTGACTTTGTACACTTAGTTACTGGGTGTCATTGTTCCGGAAGTTTTACCCTAATTTACTGAGTCTGACACTGGACAGTGGTCCAGATGAGGAGGAGCCTGTCTCCTCACTGGTGATTACCCATCTTTGTGGAGTGATGCGGCCTGGTTGCGGTTGTCTCACTGGGCCAGTTACCAGTTTCCTCAGATGTCTTCTCACCACCTTAGATCAGCCAGCAGAAGGGTGGTCCAGGGTTCCAGTGCCTGTGTTTCCCAGACGGCAGGGATGCTGGTTCACATTCCTGAGAGCATCTAGCAATAGACCTGTGTTCCCTGAGAAGTAGGGGAGATTGTTTTCCCCTATTCTCTAGCTAATACAAGCAAAACCCATAAATTGTAATACCCAAACTCAAAGGTTAGGACTAAATGAATTTCATTTGAGAATAGTTTCCACAAAGCCTGACTTTGCTTCCCCCGTTTTCATCTTACAGTGAAAGTGTGTCTGTTACTGCAAAGAAAGTAGTGGGCCAGCAGGCGGCTCACTGGCTGTTGAGCAAGCCTGTCAACACCAAGTAAAGGTTTGGAGAGACAGGCAACCCGCAAGGCTGTCCTCTGATCGCTGCATGCTTTGCCACACATTCTCAATAGTTCAAAATTGTTTTTTTTTTATTTTCTTTCTGAACCTGGAGACTTACTCCATGCACATACAGACACATGTGCACATAAATCAAAATCAATTTTTTTTTTTTTTTAAAGAGATGTAGTGATCTGTGAAGACTCATAGCTAAGGGTGTTAGGTGAGAAGTGAAGTCGTGGGGCTGCAGGTGTAGCTCAGTTGGTAGTGTCCACCTCGCACGCACAAGGCCTCGCTGTGATCCCCAGAACTGCAGGAAACCGTGGAAATAAGAGAATCAGAAGTTCAAGGTGATTCTCAAGCTCATCAAGGAGTTTGAGGCCAGGGTACACTACATGAGACCTTGTCTTTATTTTATTTTATTCTTTTCCAAGACAGCTTCTCTGTGTAGCCCTAGCTGTTCTGGAACTTGCTCTATAGACAAGACTGGCCTTGAACTCAGCTCCACCAGCCTCTGCCTCCCAAGCACTGGGATTAAAGGTGTGCACCAGTACACCTGGCTGAGACCTTGTCTTAAAAAAAAAAAGAAAGAAAAAATTACAAGATATGGTGCATGCCTTTAATGCCATTGATGTGGAGATGGATGGAAGCAAGTCTCTGTGATTACAAGATCAGGCTAGTGTATGCAGTGAGTTCCAGATCAGCCAAGGTAACAGTAAGATCTTGTTGAAATACAAAAACAAAACAAAAAATCAAGTTGCTAATTATATATGTACTATTATTTCATTTGCATAGTAAAAATATTTTTATTTCTCTTGACCTGTGCATATTCACAAGTCTGTTCAAGGAGAAATGTACAGGTAGTCCTATGCAAGTGTTCATGGGCCTGTCCTGTCATTAAGGAGTAAAGGATTTTGCATTGTTTGGTAGGCTAACCAAGCTGACCACTGTTTCTGCTTTCCTCTCCAACACACATCTTAGAGTTAAACAGCTGTTTGTATTTTACTATGCAACATGAATTTCCATTAAAAATTAAATATTTTTAAAGTAAGCTCACACTTCTGATACCAAAATATGGGTGAAAATTAGAGAGCACCAGTGTGGCGGCACACCCCTTCGAAGTCTTAGTACACTAGAGACCAAGGCTTACCAGAGCCAAGCTAGCCCGAGCTACATAGTCAGTTCCTGGCCGGGCTAGCCTACGCAGCCCTGTTGAAAAGGAAGAGACTGCATGCTGCTGCCTGTCTTGTGTTTGCACAGTGGCTGGAAGGTTATGGAGGAATCTGAAAGTGGCCAGTGAGCCCAGAGCCGGGAAGGGAGAGCTTCCGGGATCAAGAGCAGGGAGGTTTACCCGTCCTTACCTTTTTATTTCTTCCTGGCTTTCCTTTAGAGGGTGCACAGGTGTGGGTGTATGTACACTTCTCAAGTATTTTTTGAAGAGGGACACTTAAAACTATTCTCATATTGCACCATGAAAATAGGGAATATAATAGGAACTGGTTTTTATTTTACCATAAATAAAAAGCTAAACTGTACTTTCTGATTTAAGGCACCGTATAAACTTGAGTTCAGATTTCTTGATGACTCCTGACTTCTACTGGGACAGAGCAAACCTGGAGGAGCTTTATGATAAGACCTGCCAATTTCTCAGCATCACTCGAAGAGTTAAGGTATGTATTTTTCAAGAGAAAAAGACATCCAGAGCAGTGGTGACGCACGCCTTTAATCCCAGCACTTGGGAGGCAGAGGCAGGTGGATCTCTGAGTTCAAAGACAGCCAGGACTACAAAGAGAAACGCTGTCTGGAAAAACAGGAGAGACAAGAGAGACAGACAGAGATTCTCTGCTATAATTTTATCGCTGAAATTTTCAGCCAAGTCTGTTTAATTGCATTTGGAGAAATACTATTTGACTTCTGGTCATGTCTCCTCAGATTCCCACTTCTGCCTCTTGTCCTCACTGCAGTCGGTTTAGTTTTTTTCTCAGGAGACTGAGACAGGAGGATTGCTTTTGAGCTCAAGACCAGTGTGAACTACAGAGATACTATTTTAGCCATGACCACCTGAAGGAAGGTATAGAGTATAATGGTTAGAAAAGGTGGTTTTAGATACAAAGTATCACACTGTAGCCCAGGCTGGTCTCAAATTGTTATAAGAGGAGTATTTAGATACAAAGTATCACATTGTAGCCCAGGGTGGCCTCAAACTCCCAGTGATGCTCTTGCCTTAGCCCTACTTCCGGGATCACAAACATGAGCCCTGGCATTTGGCTCCACTTCTCAGCTTTCTGGGTCAAAGGCTCAGTTCTAAGATTTCCATGTTCTTTGTTTTAATGTTTACTTGTTTTTGAGGTGGAAGTCTCACTACATTGTTCAGGCTGGCCTTGAACTTGGGGATCCTTCTGCATCAGCTTTTCAAGTAGTAAACATGTTTATCTTTGTATTACATGTGATGTGCGTAGTATATGCTTGTGTTCATATGTATATACACATGTAGATGTGCACATGCATGTGGGGGCTAAAATGTGACTTCAGCCATCCTCTACAGCTGTCCACCTTTATAAAAAAAGATTGCTATGTATCTATATGTCTGTGTGTAATTCAAGGGGTACATGTGTGTGGAAGGCAGCTGTTAGATCCCTTGGAGTTAGACTAACAGGCAGTTGATAAAAGCCTCTCAGTGTGGTTGCTGGGAACCATACTCCTAACTAGTCCCCTGGAAGAGCAGCAAGTACCCCTCATTGTTAAATCAGCTCTCCACCCCCTCCATCAGGCTTCAAACCTCTCGCACTGGACCTCACTGGTTCGTTCAGACTACTGGCCAGCAGAGGCCTCAAGGATCTTCCTCTTTCCTCCTCCCCAGCTCTGGGATTATGGGCATTTGCTTCTGTGCCCATTTATTTTTTAATTACGTCTGCTTATTTGTGTGTGCATATATGCCAGTGTGCATGTGGATCAGGAAACTTGATTTCTCCTTCCACCACTTAGGTTCTGGTGTTTGAACTCGGGTTGGCAGGGTTAGTGGCAAGTGGCTTTACCTGCTGAGCCGTCTTGTAGGCCCTATGCCCAGACTTTTTATGTGGATGCTAGTGATCTGTAATCGGGTCCTCATGCTTATATTAGAAGCACCTTATCAGCGGAGCCACCACGAACTGTTTTCTGCTGAGGGTGAGTGTCTGTTTCTAATGGCCAGGCACAATGCTGGTTTACACTTATTCTGTGGGAGGTAGGGAGTGCGTGGGTGCTGTGGTATACATGAGGAAGTCAGAGGGCAACTATTAGGACTCGGTTCTTTCCTTCCACCGGGTGGGTACCAGGGATTGAATTTAGGCTTAGCAGCAAGCACCTCTACCCACTGGGCCACCTTACCAGCCTCAAAGTTCCTTTGTTTTTCAACTTTCATTCTCTCAAACAGCTTCTAAAGTCCTCATTTCTTTTGTTGCCTAGAATAGTGTGTTTAGCTGTTCCTGGTCTACACTTTTCAATATTACTTCCAATCACTTCCCAGTCACCTTATGTCCCATCAAGTAAATTACATAATTTCAAAAAAACCCTGTAAATTCATTGACTGCTATGCAGTTCTAGAATATATCTGTTTCTCCAACCCAGACACTTGTCTTTTGCATAATCATCCCATCAAAGGTGTCCATGATTTGTCAGTCTGCTTGGTGTTCCTTTGTATCTTCTATAATGCAGGAATGTAGAAATACTTGCCAAATTTCAGGCAGACAGCCATCCCAAGCCACGTCACCTTAGCTGGCTTGGAAGGACTAGTCAGTGGTGTTGGCAGAGTTGTTTCAGGAGACTCGGTGTAGTTTGGTAACCAGATATGAGACATTTGTAGCCCAGGTTGTCTGGACACAACACAGGAAAGGAGACTGACTTTCCTGATGCACAGGCTGAAGACAGGGATATGAGGGGATACTAAAGCTCTATGCAAATGAGGCTCTCCAGTGCTAGCATTGGCTAACTGCTGCTGTGCAGTAAATTTCTCCAAAACTAGCAGCTTAAAGCAGCTCTTTCTCCTAGTTTTATGGGCGAGGGCCTCTCTCAAGGGTGCAGGCACCTCTGGATCCACTTCCTGTCTGTTCATGTGGTTGCTAGATTCAGTCCCTCAAGGCTGTTGGACTGAGGTCTCAGTTCCTCGCCACAGAGGCTTCTGTGAGAGTATCTACTACCACACACATGGTAAGAGTCCTAGAGTCAAAAAACAGGAGGTAGTATCTTACAGCCTAATTACAGTCCTAGGTAACTGTCTTTTCTGCACTGCTCTGTTTAAAATAAGTCAGATGCCCACCCATACTCCAAGAGAGGAGGTAACGACAGTGAGCAGCAGGTCAAAAACATCTTAGAAGTCACCTGTCAGAATGGCTTTGAGAAAAGTTTGTTTTAGAAGCCAGCTTTGCAAACAGTGACCTACATCATCCTCACACCACAAGTTAATGATTCAGCACCTACATGGTACCACATACCTGTCAGTAATTTCCAGACACTCAATAGGTTCACATCCATATGCATAAAATAAATAAACCTAAAAAAGTAAATTCTAGAAAGACAAATACCCTACGGGGTGAAGACAAACTACTTCAGATGCTGAAGATACAGGTTAGTTGGTGAAGAACTTTCTGGTATGCATGGATGAACCCTGAGTTCTATGTCCATCATCTATACACTGGGAGTGGTGGTGCTTGCCTGTAATCCCAGCATTTATGGAGAGAGGGAATCAGGAATTCAAGGTCATCCTTGGCTACAGAGTGAGTTGGAAGCCAGCCTGGGCTACGTGAAACCCTGTCTCAGAAGAGTACAACACTGATTATCTTAAGACTAGGGGAGTGTGGTGGTTGGCAGGTGGGGGTAACACACTTGAAAGTGAACTGTGGTAGTAGAAATGTAGTTACATAGATGTTAAAATCTGATGCTTAGAATGGGTGTTATGTAAATTGTCTTCATTGATTTGTAAATAAGCCTCGTATTTTTTGGGTGCAGCTGTATTTATTGTGAGAAATTTTTAAATATTCCAATTTCCCTCTTTTGAGGTCTCTCTCCATGTGCAGATTTTGAGTGTAATCGTTACGATGAGATGTGATGACTGTCACCAAGATATAGGCTTCTTTCCCTCGTGGAACCAGAATGTTTCCGCTCAAGCTTAATGAACTTGATTAGGAAATAGTCATGAGCTCAGGGCTGTCTGCACCACAAGCACTAGCCACATTTCCCTTCATGTGTCTCCCCGGCGACCCAGGCCCTCCACACTGACATTCTGAGGCATCCCCTAAGCCAACTGCTATTCCCCACTAGTGTGTAAACTCCATGACATCTGCTACTGTATTTGTAGATAAACAGGCAACTCGATTTCAAAAGGAGACAAATTATATTCTCCTGATTTTGAAACTGCTTTGGCCTGTGCCAAGTGCTTGGGTTAATCCAGCTTTGAACCAAGAAAATGTATTTTAATCAGGAGACTTATCTTTGAAAGGATCTAAGTAGCTCTGGCTGACCTTGAACTCAAGACATCTCAGGTACTGAGATTCAATGGTAATTCACCACCATTCTCTGCAAGAAAGTTCCTTAAGATTTGTTTTTTATGTAAGTCTGTGTGAGGTTTCTACAATATGTGTGCAGGTCCCCAGAGTCCAGAAGAGGGTATCAGAACCCCTAGAACTGGAGTTACAGGCAGTTGTGAGCTGCCCAACATGAATACCAGGGAAGGCCTAGGTTGTCCTTTGCAGGAGCAGTAAACACTTACTGCTGAGACCTCTCTGGTCCCCAGGAGACTAACTCTGCACAGATTATTTTGGATTTTTGTTTTGTGAGCAACTGTTGGGGGAGAACGTGTTCTCTGTACTGTGCTCACAGCTGAAGTGGAGGTCTGTCAGCAGCTGGAAGAGAAGCAAGCTTAAAGATGAACACATTAGAGGCCAAGACTAAGCAGTCAGTAGACAGAACCAACAGCGTGCCCTAGATATTTCTAGTGAGAAACTACAAGGTGGGCCTATCATCCGGGAAGTTGTATGCGCTGTCCCTCACTAATAAAGCAGTTGAATGCTGTGTAGCAGGACCCTGCGTATGACATACGATGTTTCAGTCCTCACAGCTCATCCTGGCCAAACCTGCACCAACTATGTCCCCCAACTTTACAGCTTTCAGAGGAATGTAAAGTACTAAATAGGTGTGTACCTACCTAGTACTCACATCCAGCTTTTAAAATCAGAATTTGTGTGACACCCATCCACTCCCCACGCCAACCAGTTTGTCCAAAGCGGCATAGCCCAGAGCCTCTGCCAGTTCTGCTAGTGGTGGTGCCGCCTAGTGGTAAGTTTCAGGTTACACGCACTACGCATTTCAGTAGAAAGGTACCTTTGCTCACTTCAGCTCACATACTAAAACTCCAACCTTGGGGATTAGCATGGCCCCTGTGCCAAGTAGTCCATGCCCCGTGCTTAGTAAAGTTTCCAGTTCCCTAACAAACTGCTAGGAAACCCTATTTTCAAACTTCCATCAGGGGTTGGAGAGATGGCTCAGCAGTTAAGAGCACTCACACTGGCTGCTCTTACAGAGTACCCGGGTTCAATTCCCAGCACCCAACATGCCAGCTCACAAATGTCTGTGACTCCAGTTCCAGGGAATCCAACACCTTCACACAGGCATACATGCAGGCGAAACACCAATGCACAAAAATAAAAAAATCTTTTCTTTAAAAAAGGTTTAAAAGTTCCATCAGTCTTACAAATATTAGTATGCCAAAAAGAAAAAATGGAACTGCAATACAAAGGGACCAGGGACTATAATTTGGCAGTGTTTGCCTATCAAGCATGAATCCCTAAGTTCGGTGCCCAGCACTGCAGAAAGAGGTGGCGATTCGTAGACCACCAGGACTCTGGGAGGTGGGAGGAAGACTGCAGGCCACACTAGGTTATGAAATAGCTAAGGGCTAAAGAGATGGCTTTGGTGGTTTGAGTGCTTTCTGAATTAGTACCAGAGTTAAGGTCCCACCACCCATGTAGCTCACAAATGCTTGACATGAGCCCGAGTGGTTCTTAATCCTTCTGGCCCCCCGCAGGCACCTGCACACATGTGTTCAGAAACACACACAATAAGCAAAAGTGCGCTGCCATTTTGTAGATGGAGTCACTAAACACAGCTTGCTAATGGCTAGTTGTCTTTGAGGACTAAGCAGCAAGAATTTGATAAACTATGTATATCTAAATTTGTATTCTTTAAATATAAATGCATGACACTGAGATTTTTCTTGCAGGTCATGAATGAAAAACTTCAACACTGCATGGAACTAACAGACCTAATGCGGAATCACCTGAATGAGAAGAGGGCACTCCGCCTGGAGTGGATGATCGTCATCCTCATCACCATCGAGGTCAGCAGCTGGGTTCTAGTCCAGAGACACAGTCTCAAATGACTAGTTAGGATGCACTGACTAAAAACAGCATTCTCTAGTTTAGCTGTAACCTTACCATGCACAGCCTAGTATCAGATCACCTGCCACTTGAGAAAGGCAGTGCTTCTCCCAGGGACACTTCTCATCACAGCAGTCTTGGAAGTCACCTTAGCTGCTGTGGTGGTGAATTCTGTCAACTTGACTCCAGGTAGAACCACCAGGGATTTGTGAGACTCAGAAAAACCCTTCCTTTCTTAGGAAATGAAATTCAGGTGTTTCAGCACGAAATTAGTAACTACCTTCTTTATTCTCCTAAGGTAATGTTTGAGCTGGGAAGAGTGTTTTTCTGATCTTGTGAAAATGAGAAGAATATTACTGGAAGAGATAATTCAAGTTCTGCAACTGAAAAAAAATCAGCATTCACTTCTGGTGAATTCTTAGGCAATAGGTATTTAAACCTTTAAATCAACAGTCAGTGGGCATGGGACACACACCTGTAATCCCAGCACTCTGAAAGCTGAAGCAGGAAGATGCGTTCCAGCCTAGCCTTGCACTGCACAGGAAACCCAGCTGAGAGGGGAGCCGACTGTGGTGTCGCACACCAATCTCAGCACTTGGAAAGCAGAGGCAGAGGACTGTCCAAAGTTTGAAGCCAACTGTAACACAGCAGGACTCTGTCTCAAAATAAAACAATGTCATAATGACCTTTTGCAGCTCTTAAGTATATTGTTGCCCAAATAAAAATTATGAATATGATGTTTGGGTCAACATACTGAAAGTTCAAAAGGAAACTGTTTCATCAGTTTTAGTGGCCTAATTTGACTGTTCATAGGCACACTGCATCTCAATAATCAACCCTTTGTCCTGTAACATCAAGAAAGCCAATCTTCCTACAGATACACTTTATTATGTGCATGACTCAATGCACTAACCACACCACAAACACATAAAATTAAAAAAAAAAACTTGGAAGATACTTTACCTTCATGGCCTTTTCAGGCATAGCTGCCCTCCCCCTTTCTAGTCTACCAAGATCACACTTTTCACACATGTGTGTTCACCCAGTATTACTTTGCACTACAATGGAATGTTCATTTGTTCCTTGGTTAACTGTGTACCCAGACAACACAAGTTCACTGGTACCTTGCTGATAGTGTCTGCTACCACTGCTGAGTACCTGGCCTTTCTGTTGGGCACACTGCAAAGATGTAGGAGCTGTGTCCCAGCTGAGATCCGTCTGTACCCAATGGTACTCAAAAGTTTTCCAAGGAGCAGGTAGCATGGAGAGTTCATAAACTAGCTGTCACGAGCCTGCCATGACTTCACAAACAGTAGCATCTCTCAGCCACGCCGGTTGGTCTGCTTCTTAAACCACACGAAAGACAATTAAACTGGTGAGTATAGCCTTTTTGAGCCAAGGTCATTAAGATTACCTCTGTTAAGAGATGCCATGTCTGGGCTGGAGAGATGACTCAGAGGTTGAGAGCACTGACTGCTCTTCCAGAGGAACTGAGTTCAATTCCCAGCAATCACATGGTGGCTCACAACCATCTATCATGAAATCTGATGCCCTCTTCTGGCATGCAGAACGTTGTATACATACATAATAAATAAATACATCTTTTAAAAAAAAAAAAGAGAGATGCCATGTCTAAAAATGTTAACAAATTTGACAAGTGCAATTAATTACCTAAACAGGAAATTGTAACAATTTCAATACACTAGTAAAACTATGTTGCCGGATAGCTCTGACAAAATTTAACATTTATAAATGTTGCACAAAACAAAAACAGATTCTTCACAAATATTTATTGGATAAAGTTTTAGGGGGAAAATGCAATACAAAAGCAGTAGCCAAAGAAAGGAATAATGCAGATTTGAATAGTTTTCCTGTATTTCAATGGATCATGGTGGACACTTATTGAGGTATTACATTCCATTGTCATGTCTTGTCCCAATGTTGCACTTGGCAACCACACAGCACTGTATACCTATGCCAATGGTCACTCTTCATCCAGTTCAGCAGCATTACAAATTCTTATATATTACTCTCAACTCCAAGATACCATGGAGCAGCTAAGAGCCGCCCCTGCTCTGCAAAGCTTACTGGCATTGAAGGCAGGAGGAAACCACTGTCATCTGCTTTAGGGACAGGTACTCAAAGTTGACTGGACAGCCTTAGATGTCACCATTTGAATTTTAAAACAACTTGGAACAGGAGAGATTTAAATGTTGCTAGAGTTTTCCTGCCTGACCCACAGTCAGGACAAATCTCTCTCACCCGCCAGTTCCACAGCCACTCAGACCCGACCAAGTAAACACAGAGACTTACATTGGTTACAAACTGTATGGCCGTGGCAGACTTCTTGTTAACTGTTCTTACAGCTTAAATTAATCCATTTCTATTAATCTATACCTTGCCACGTGACTTGTGGCTTACCGGTACTTTACATCTTCCTTGTCCTGATGGCGGCTGGCAGTGTCTCCTCACTCAGCCTTCCACTTCCCAGCTCTATTCTCCTTGTCCCGCCTATACTTCCTGCCTGGCCACGGGCCAATCAGTGATTTATTTATTGACCAATCAGCAACACATTTGACATACAGACCATCCCACAGTATTTAAAACTTTTAACTTTGCTTCCATACAAGAGACTTGGGATTTGCTTATACAGTAACCATGTTTTTAATATTGGGCTGGCTGGTGTTTATCAACTAAAGGCTTCTAGAGGACACAAACTAAGAAAAACTAGCCAAGTGCTTCCATTCAGATCTACCACTCCTGCCCTAGGGCTGATCTTGAACTAAAGCCATGTGTGCTGGTTCTGGTCACCCAGAGCTTTACTTCTAGGCACCACAGGTCAATCAGGCACCTGGCGGCTCCTGTTTAAGCTTGTTAGAATCCTCTAACAATCCCTTTGGGACCCTCTTTGCATAGCATGACCCACCATCCTGGGTCTTCCTGAAAGTGAACGTTTCCCAGAGCAGCCACTTTCTGACCGAGAGTGTGCAAGTCTGGCAAGAATTGACCGACCCATCTTCAGACCTCCTCTTAGGCATCTGATGCTGGGTGGAAAGCTACCTTTCATCTCACAGCTGTGTTGCAGTGCTATGAAGCCACAACTGTGCTGCCTCTTCTGCCATCAGGGGCTGTTGTCACAAAAACATCAGCCAGAGGAAGTTTCATCTCAATTTACTGTGGTGCTCAAAACCACCCCCCCCCCCAAAAAAAAGCTACAAGTGGAAAATATGAATGAAATGCATTTATCTCACCTGCCAAACACCAGAGTTCCCAACAGTGCCAGTTAGCCGATGTTACCACCAACTGGGAGCTGCAGCTCACTCAGGAGAATAAGACTAGAGCGCATCTGCATCCTCAAGGAGACTTGAAAGTCAAAACACTGATTGTGGGGCTGAGGATAAGGCAGTGCAGAGTGCTTGCTTAGTACAAGCAACAGCACCACATCAAACAGCCCTGTACTAATGCCTGGAATCTCTGCACTTAGATGGAGGCAGATGCTCAAGTCATTCTGTCTACTTCATAAGTTGAAGACTCTTAGAAAACAAGACAAGGCCGGGCGGTGGTGGCGCACGCCTTTAATCCCAGCACTCAGGAGGCAGAGCCAGGCGGATCTCTGTGAGTTCGAGGCCAGCCTGAGCTACCAAGTGAGTTCCAGGAAAGGCGCAAAGCTACACAGAGAAACCCTGTCTCGAAAAACCAAAAAAAAAAAAAAAAAAAAAAAAAAAAAAAAAAAAAAGAAAAGAAAAGAAAACAAGACAAACTACTAATTTGAAAACACGTGGCAATTTTCCTTATAAATTTCACCATTTAAAACCCTTGAGTCAGCCAGGCAGTGGTGGTGAATGCCTTTAATCCTAGCACTCGGGAAGCAGAGCCAGGTGGATCTCTGTGAGTTCGAGGTCAGCCTGGTCTACAGTGAGTTCCAGGACAGGTGCCAAAGCTACACGGAGAAACCCTGTCTCGAGAAAAAAAAAAAAAAAGAAAACCCTGAGTCATTGCCAGGCTTAGTCACACACACACCTTAAATCCTTGCACTCTGGAGGCAGAGGCAGCTGGATCTGTTTGAGGCCCTACACACAATGAGTTCCAGGACAGCCAAAGCTACATAGTGAGACCCCGTCTTGAAAAAATAAAAAACAAAATCCTCAGTCACATGGGACTTGAATAACTAGAATAGTACTTTAGTGGGGCATGGTGGTCCACACCTATAATCCCAACACTTGGGAAGTGGGAGTAGTTCAAGATTATCCTAGGCTACAAAGTAAACTCTAGGCCAGCCTGGGCTATCAGACCCTGTCTCAAAGGGGAATGGGGGACCCACAGGGGCCTAAAGAGATGCCTCAGAACTTAAGAGCACTTGCTGCAAGTTCCCAGCACCTGCAAATCAGCTCAGAACCATCCACAACTCCAGTTCCAGGGCATCCCAAGGCTGATCTGGGGCACCAGGCACACTTGTGGTACACATATATACATGCATGCAAGACTCTCATACACATACAGTTTAAATCTATAGGATTGGAAAACTAGCCCAGCAGTTAAAAGCACTTGTTGCTCATGCACAGGACCCAACTTCAGATCCAAACACCCAGTGCTCTTCTGACCCTGAAGGGCACCATGCACACATGGTGCACATACATACACGCACACCAAACATTCATGCACATAAATAAACCTGTTTGGTTGGCACCTCCAGCTCCCTCCTGTTTGATACTGAAAGCCCCAGTCCTGTGTCTCTCCAAACCATGACCTCTCATAGAATCTCTGAACAAAGGGAAGGGATCAAAAAGCCCAGTTCCGAATTCTTGGCAGGTATTGGTAGCTTCTCCCCTGAAGTTGCTAGCAGCCCAAGTCCCACCCAAGCAGTCCGGCTTTTGACCATACTTGGGCACAAACTCAGCTTGTGGTGGACACGTCATCACCCCTGGCCTACAAGCAATATAACCTCCCTGCTTTAGTACAGGCTCGTGATTTCTCCTGCCTCCATCTGTGGAGCTGGAGAAGTCACCTGGAAGTTGCTTTGCTCAAATAAACCTGTTCTTTTAATGGGGGGGGGGGGGGGTTCAAGACAGGTTTTCTCTGTGTAGCTTTGGAGCCTGTCCTGGATCTCACTCTGTAGACCAGGGTGGCCTCAAACTCACAGAGATGCCTCTGCCTCCTGAGTGCTGGAATTAAAGGTGTGTACCACCACCACCCAGCTTCTTTTTTTACTTTTTCAATTAGGCTTGATCTGACTTATTGTGTCAGAAAATCTATTATTGTGATCCAGAAAACCTATTATCTTGGTGCCAAAACCCTGGAGGAGTGGTTAGGGTCCTCTGTCCACGTGTGGGGCCACTCTTCTCCCTTTATCTTCCTCTTGGCCAGCAGCGATGGACTTTCATCTCTGGGTTAAGTCTCTGGGTTCAGAAAGAAAATTAAAAACAAAAAAAAACAATTTTGAACTATTCAGTGTGTGGCAGTTTTTGGGTTTTTTTTAAGGTTTATTATGCAGTGTTCTGCCTGCATGTATCCCTACAGGCCAGAAGAGGGCACCAGATCTCATTTTAGAGGGTTGTGAGCCACCACTGGGAATTTTAACTCAGGACCTCTGGAAGGGCAGCCAGCGCTCTTAACCTCTGAGCCATCTCTCCAGGCCTACATAAAGGTTTTATAAGCATTTAGTCCCAACACTTGAAAAGTGAAGCAGAGCTAACAGAAGCTCAATGAAGTGGGAGAGATGGATCCAGGGTTAACATTTGCTACTCTTTTGAGAGGACCCAGATTCGGTTCCTAGCACCCACAAGGCAGCTCACAAAAGTCTCTAGCTCCAGTTCCAGGGAATATGATAACCTCTTCTGGCCTCTGGGCACAAGTACACTCTGGGCGTACATACATACAAGGAAACATTTATTACACACAATAAAAATAAATCTGTTTTAAAGTTAAAGCCACAGAGGGTATATAAGTCTAAGTTTGAGACTAGCCTAAGGTACCTGAGACCACCCACCTCTCCCCCCCAAATTCAGTTCTAACTTGGATCTGTGTCTCACTTTAGCCAAATTAAAGCACGCACTCAAATGGCTACAATTTTTATGGTTCTATTTACATAAAATGCTGGAAAATTAAAAACTGCAGTACAGCCAACAGATGGGAGTTCTAGGGTTAGGGGTGGGAAGAGGGTAAACCTGTAACAGAGAAAACCAATGGAGACTTGATGTGATAGACCTGTCCTGAATCCTTGGCAGTTATACATATAGTGTTGAAATTAAGAGGACTGCACATGGACAGAAAATCAACTTTATTGCATGTATAATTTGAAGTTATTTATATAGAAGTCATCCATTTCAGAAGTGTATTAATGAACACCATCACTTACTGAGATTCTATGCTACATGAGAACCCTCTACATTGCACTAACTTATTTTACACAACCCTAATAAAAATGAAGGTTAAGAGATTATACAATGTGTTAGATGTAATACAACTCCAGACCAGATCCTTCCGGTGTCCCTGTGTCCGTGTACTTGAAGCCAGAGGTTGGGAGCTGTCACCACCATTCTAGTGTGTGTGGGGGGGGGGGGGGGGTGCACGCATGCGCATGCCACCTAACAGCATCCGTGTAGAGGAGGTCAGAGACAACTTAGTGGGGCCAGTTATCTTTTCCCACCTTTGCATGGGCTCCAGGAGCTCAGCTCAGCAGGCACCTTTCCGTTCTGAGCCATCTGACCAACCCTTCACCTTATTTTTGAGACCGCCGCTTTGTTTAGGCTGGCGTGGCTGGCCAGTGACACATCAGCTTACAACTCTGAGGTGGTGCTGGGGCTCCACAAGTCCTCATGCTTGCACAGCACTTTACCCACGAGTCACCGCCCAGCCCCAAAGCCTATCTTCTTAACCACGATGCACAATACTGGCTCCACTGTTCATAGACATCAGCCACAGCTCCTCCCACAAGAGCTCCTTTGTTCCATTCCCAACTAACACAGATAACACAAACACAGGTAAGCCAAACACGACGTCACAGCAGCACCATCCAAGAGGAATTCTGCTGCGGCAGAAATGCTCTCTGCTATCTGTGCTAGCACCTGTACCAGGTGTGACTTAGCTACTAGACTGGACCACACAGATCTAGAGAAATAGACATCCTAGAAGAACGAGTTAATTTATGATGGCAACTTACCACCAATCAAAGAAAACAATTCAAGGTAGATGTCACCCAACTAAAACTACTTTTTGAACATTTCCTCTCCAAAACTCCAGAGTCAGTTTCTACACCACCTTCATCTGTAGAGTGGAAGCAAATGTATATTACATTATCTCATTGTGTCCCTCCCCACTGTACCTTTAAGAGCAGGGCTAACCAATTCATTCATTCATTCATTCATACACACACACACACACACACACACACACACACACACACACACCTACCCCTGTACCTAGATGCTTTCTACAACAATCACTTTTTCATCCAGTGCTAGTGAGAAAAATCATCTCAAGCCCCTTAGCCTTAACCCTTCAACTACAAATCCACTGCACAAAGTGAGCAGATAAGCACCAGCAGCTCACAATTACTCAAGCTTACAGTGGGGTAAAGGTTAAAAATATACAGGTAGGGGTGGATGGAGACCTGTCTCCATTGGTAGGTGGCATGTTTGTCTAGCACAGAGGAAGCCCTGGGTTAGCTCTCCAGCACACTATAAACTGGAGTGGGGGTGGTGCACAACCTGTAACCCAGGCACCTGGGAGATGGAAGCAGGGTCAGCAGTTTCAAAGTTCAAGGTTATCTCTGGCAACCAATGCCTGCTCAGACCACCTGAACCATATCACAATGGTCTAGTATGTGGGAACAGGAACCACAAAGGTTGCAAGGTTAAGACAGTTCATAACAGCAATCCCAATACTCCAGAACAAGGATAAGACCATACAGGAAGTCCCAGGCCAGCCTAGGCTACCAAGTGAGACCATCTCATTAGGGGGGAAAAAGGTTAAGCAAAATGTTTTAAGAAAAAAGCTTGTCATTCTCCACCTGTAATAGTACAAGTATAAAATAACCTATGTTGTCCTATCTGTTATTTACACTAGTCTAAGATTTCCAATGGGCATGGTGGTCCACTCCTTTAATCTCAGCACATGGGAGGCAGAGACAGCCAGAGTTACATGATGAGACGTTGTCTCAAAAAAAGTTTCCATGAAAAAAAAAATTTAAAAAAAAAAAAA